GGTGGGTAGGTGCTTGGAGTGGCTGGGTTGACATTTATTTTGCGGTTTCATTTATTTTTTTTTCTTTCTCGGTTTACAGTTTCAACGTTTTTTTTTTTTTCTTAAGATTTTTTTCGTGGAAAGATCAAGACTAAACCTGCAAAACCCTTAAAATTTTAGCGGATTTGAGTCATTTTTCCGAGCGCTAAAAATCGCGGAGGTTGGGGTACTTTCTCCGTTGGCCCACACGTCGTAGGCGGGTTAAAAACGAAAATACAACAAATCGACGCGACGTTTATTTCATGGTTTTTCTTTTTTTACTGTTTCTGATATTTTTTTCCAGAAAGAGTGCAACCTGATCTACAGGATCAAAGAATTTCAGATCTTTTTAGCAATTACTCTGTGCACGAAAAATCGCCAAAGTTGGCGGTTCAAAATTGCAGGACTGGACCCGCCTGCCACACTGTGCAACGTTAGGGTTCGGACACATAGGCACTTGCCACACGAGGTAAAGTGCCAAGAATGGGAAATGAGACCATTTGGCGCGACATTTATTTTGCGGTCTAAACGTTTTTTTTTTTTTTTTAACATTTTTCGTGGGAAGATTAAGGCCAAATCTGCAGACCCTTAAATTTTTAACGGATTTTAGTCTTTCTTCTCAGCGCTAAAAATTGTGGAATWTGGGGTACTTTCTCTRTYGKCCCACACGTCGTAGGGCGGTAAAAAACAAAAACACAAYGARTCAGCGCGGCGYTTATTTCMAWTTWTTYTTTTYCCCAATACTTTTACTAGAAAGAGAGGAATCTATTCTACARCATCTGAAAATTTCAGATCTTTTGATTAATTACTCTGAGCACAAGAAATCGCCAAATTGGCGCTTGAAAATTGCAGGACTGGACCCACCTRCCACACTGCAACGTTGGGGTTYGGACACACAGGCACATCCTGACGTGCCAGCGGCCTAACGTCGGATACACTTCAAAAGAAAGGAGTCCCCAAAAGCAGGCAAGGACTGTGTTGCCATGC